CTTTTTGTCTTAGTGACAGTGTCTTTTGCTTTACAGAAGCTTCTCAGTTTCAGGAGGTCCCATTTATTCAATGTTGTCCTTAATGTCTGTGCTGCTGGGGTTATACATAGGAAGCGATCTCCTGTGCCCATCTGTTGTAGGGTACTTCCCACTTTCTCTTCTATCAGGTTCAGTGTGTTCGGACTGATATTGAGGTCTTTGATCCATTTGGACTTGAGTTTTGTGCATGGTGATAGATATGGGTCTATTTTCATTCTTCTACAGGTTGACATCCAGTTGTGCCAGCACCATTTGTTGAAGATGCTTTCTTTCTTCCACTGTATACTTTTAGCTCCTTTATCGAAAATGAGGTGTTCATAGGTTTGTGGGTTAAAATCCGGGTCTTCTATACGATTCCATTGGTCAACTTCTCTGTTTTTATGCCAGTACCACACTGTTTTCATTACTGTAGCTCTGTAATAGAGTTTGAAGTCAGGGATGGTAATGCCTCCAGAAGATCCTTTATTGTATAAGATTGTTTTGGCTATCCTGGGTTTTTTGTTTTTCCATATAAAGTTGATTATTGTCCTCTCAAGATCTGTGAAGAATTTTGATGGGACCTTGATGGGAATTGCATTGAATCTATAAATTGCCTTTGGTAGAATTGCCATTTTTACTATGTTGATCCTCCCAATCCAAGAGCAAGGGAGATCCTTCCATTTTCTGGTATCCTCTTCAATTTCTTTCTTCAATGCCTTAAAGTTCTTGTCAAATAGATCTTTCACTTCCTCGGTTAGAGTTACCTCAAGATATTTTATGCTGTTTGTGGCTATTGTGAAAGGTGATGCTTCTCTGATTTCCCTCTCTGCTTCCATATCCTTTATGTATAAGAGGGCGACTGATTTTTTGGAGTGGATCTTGTATCCTGCCACATTACTAAAGGTGTTTATCAGCTGTAAAAGTTCTTTGGTGGAGTTTTTGGGGTCGCTTATGTACACTATCATATCATCTGCAAATAACGAAAGCTTAACTTCTTCCTTTCCAATTCAAATTCCCTTGAATCCCTTATGTTGTCTTATTGCTATTGCTAGAATTTCAAGCACTATATTGAAGAGGTATGGCGAGAGTGGACAGCCTTGTCGTGTTCCTGATTTTAGTGGGATGGCTTTGAGTTTCTCTCCGTTTAATTTAATGTTAGTTGTCGGCTTGCTGTAAATAGCTTTTATTATATTTAGGTATGACCTTTGTATCCCTAATCTCTCCAAGACTTTTATCATAAAGAGATGTTGAATTTTGTCAAATGCTTTTTCAGCATCTAATGAAACGATCATGTGGTTTTTTTTCTTTCAGTTTATTTATATGATGGATTACATTGATAGATTTTCGTATGTTGAACCAGCCCTGCATCTCTGGGATGAAGCCTACTTGATCATAATGGATAATTTTTCTAATGTGTTCTTGGATTTGGTTTGCCAGTATTTTATTGAGGATTTTTGCATCGATGTTCATGAGTGAGATTGGCCTGTAATTCTCTTTCTTGGTTGAGTCTTTGTGTGGTTTTGGTATCAGGGTAACTGTAGCTTCATAAAAGGAATTTGGTAATGACTCTTCTGTTTCTATATTGTGAAATACATTAAGGAGTATAGGTATTAGGTCTTCTTGGAAGTTCTGGTAGAATTCCGCATTGAAACCAAGTTCTGGTAGAATTCCGCATTGAAACCATCTGGTGTTGGGCTTTTTTGGTAGGGAAGTTTTTGATAACAGCTTCTAATTCTTCGTGACTAACAGGTCTATTTAGATTGTTCACCTGGTCCTGGTTTAACTTTGGTATATGGTATTTATCTAAAAAAGTGTCCATTTCTTTTACATTTTCCAGTTTTGTGGCATACAGGCTTTTGTAGTAAGACCTAATGATTCTCTGAATTTCCTCTGTGTCTGTGGTTATGTCCCCCTTTTCATTTCTGATCTTATTAATTTGCATATTCTCTCTCTGCCGTTTGATTAGTTTGGATAGGGGTTTAGCAATCTTGTTGATTTTCTCCAGGAACCAGCTTTTTGTTTCATTGATTCTTTGGATTGTTTTCTGTGTTTCTATTTTGTTGATTTCAGCCCTCAGTTTGATTATTTCCAGTCTTCTACTCCTCCTAGGTGAGTCTGCTTCTTTTTTTTCTAGAGCTTTCAGGTGGGCTGTTAATTCTCTAATGTGAGCTTTCTCTGTTTTCTCTAAGTGGGCACTTAGTGCTATGAACTTTCCTCTTAGGACTGCTTTCATAGTGTCCCATAAGTTTGAGTATGTTGTTTCTTTATTTTCATTGAATTCAAGGAAGACTTTAATTTCTTTCTTTATTTCTTCCTTAATCCAGGTATGGTTCAGTAGTTGACTGTTCAGTTTCCATGAGTTTGTAGGCTTTCTAGGGGTAGCATTGTTGTTGAATTCTAACTTTAATCCATGGTGATCTGATAAGACATAGGTGGTTACTAATATTTTTTTGTAACTGTGGAAGTTTGCTTTGTTATCGAGTATGTGGTCAATTTTTGAGAAGGTTCCATGAGCTGCAGAGAAGAAGGTATATTCTTTCCTATTTGGGTGGAATATTCTATAGATGTCTGTTAAGTCCAATTGATTCATTACCTCCATTAATTCTCTAATTTCTCTGTTAGGTTTCTGTCTGATTGACCTGTCCATTGGTGAGAGAGGAGTGTTGAAGTCTCCTACTATTAGTGTGTGCGGTTTGATGGCTGCCTTGAGTTTTAGTAATGTTTCTTTTACGTATGTGGGTGCTTTTGTATTAGGGGCATAGATATTCAGGATTGAGACTTCATCCTGATGAATTGTTCCTGTTATGAGTACAAACTGTCCCTCTCCATCTCTTCTGATTGATTTAAGTTTGAAGTCAACTTTGTTAGAAATTAGTATGGCCACACCTGCTTGTTTCTTAGGTCCATTTGCTTGATAAGCCTTTTCCCAGCCCTTTACTCTGAGTAGGTGCCTGTCTTTGTGGTTGAGGTGTGTTTCTTGTAAACAGCAGAATGTTGGATCCTGTTTTCGTATCCAATCTCTTAGCCTGTGCCTTTTTATAGGTGAGTTGAGTCCATTGACATTAAGTGATATTAATGACCAGTGGTTGTTAACTCCGATCACTTTTTTAGTAGTAGAGTTTGTGCGTTTCAATTTTTGATTTTTTTTTTGGTATTGACATAGATCCTGTTTTAATTTTTGATTCTTAAATTTTTTTGGTTGAGTTGTAAATTTTTCTTCATTCCCCCACCCCTTTTCTCTCTCCTCCCCTTCTACCCTCTCCCATGGTCCCCATGCTTCCAATTTACTCAGGACATCTTGTCTTTCTCTACTTCCTATGTAAATTATATCCATGTATGTCTCTTCCTTGTTGTCTAGGTTCTCTGGGATTGTGAACTGTAGGCTGGTTTTTCTTTGCTTTATGAGTGAGCACATATGATATTTGTCTTTCTGGGTTTGGGTTACCTCACTCAATATGTTGTTTTCTAGATCTATCCATTTGTCCGCAAATTTCAAGATGTTATTATCTTTTTCCACTGTGTAGTACTCCATTGTGTAAATGTACCACATTTTCCTTATCCATTCTTCAGCTGAGGGGCATCTAGGTTGTTTCCAGGTTCTGACTATGACATGTCTTGTATTCTGCTGTTCATTTGTTGTTCCTGATCATTTTCTCATGATTTCTGTTTCTATAATTCCCTTGGCTTGTGTTTTCTTTATTGCCTCTATTTCAGTTTTTGAGTCTTGAATAGTTTCTTTCATATGTTTTACTGATTTTTCTTGGTTTTCTTTAAGGAATTTACTGATGTCTTCCAATTTTTTGACTGTGTTTTCCTCCATTTCTTTGAGGGAATTTTTCATTTCCTCTTCAAGGGTCTCAGACATTCTCCTAAAGTTATTTTTTTAGGTCATTTTTTCCTGCTTTATCTATATTTGATTGTTCAAGTCTTGCTGTTGTAAGCCACTAGTTTTATTGGTGTCATGTTACTCTTTGTGGTGTTGAGTGTGTTACCATCTTTTCCTCTGATTGGCTGTCTCTCTGATGATCAATCTTCCAGGTGCCAGTGGATCCAAGGCTCAGATGGTTGCTCCTTGTGGTGCAGTCAGGATTATGGTTCCAATCACCCCAGAGGTCACTCCGTGTTCCTGGAGGTTGTTCAGCACTCTTGGGGGTCGCTCTGTTGTACTGGGGGGTCATTCGGGCTTGTTCCCATGGAGGCTGCTTGCTTGGGACTGCTCCCGCTGAGGTCCCTGAAGTCGCTGCCTTGAGCCTGCTCCTGTAGAGATCACTGGTTCAGTCCCGCTTCTGCAGAGGTTGCTAGCTCAGGCCTGTTCCTGTAGATGTCCCTGGTTGGGCCCAGTCCCGCAGAGGTCTCTGGCTCCAGTCTGCTCCCTCAGAGGTCCCGGACTCACACCTGGACCCACAAAGGTCACTGGTTTGGGCCTGCTCTGGTAGAGGTCACTGACTCAAGCATGCTCCTGTGGAGGTTGCTGCCTCGGGCCTGGGCCTGCTTCGGCTCAGGTCGCTGACTCGCTGGCTCAGGCCTGCTCCCACAGAGGTCTCTGGCTCTGGCCTGTGAAAGAAGAAGCACACCTTCTCTCTAATCATGTATCAGAGGCTCCCCTTTCTCTTCACCTCGTTATGCTGGGACACAAGTCACGTTTCCTGGATTTGGAAGGATCCTTTGCTCACACCCGCTGTCAGCCCAGTTCACGTCTCTGCCCCTGTGGTGTGTTACGGCTGCTGGGGTTTTGGCTGCTCCCCAGAGCAATAGCACAATTTTCCCTGTAGAAATTCTTATTTTTTTGGAGAGACAGGATCTCACTGTGTGTTCCAGATGAAACTCGAACTCACAACCCTCCTGCCTCCTGTGTGTTCCAGATGGAACTCGAACTCACATCTTTAGTATCTAGGATAAAGAAACACACCCCCATGCCTGGTGGGAATTTTTGAAAGCCCTCATGGCATTAGCGTCCTGACACCAGTTTCCTGTTCACACAGGCCAGCTGGACATCATCTCCATGGCTGAGACCAGTATGATGCCAGAGGAGATCGAGCTGGAGATGGTGAAAATCCAGCGTCTCCGTGAAGTCCTGGTCCGTCGAGAGTCAGAACTCAGGTTCATGTGAGTGAGTGGGGAAACAAGGTAGAGGTGTGTAGGACGGAAGTGTCCTGAAGAACAAGGGGTGACGGAACATCATGTACTAACATTGAGCCCTTATAGGCACTAAGAGAACCCCTCATGGGTACCACATGTTCAAGGAATTAAACTCAGTTTTCTTCCTTCCTTCCATCCCCACCCCCTTTTTTTTCCTTTCTTGGTTTTGATTTTTTAAGACTGTTTCTTTGTGTAGCCCTGGCTGTCCTGGAAATTACTATGTAGATGAGGCTGGCCTTGAACTTAGAGATCTGCCTGCCTCTGCCTCCTGAGTGCTGGGATTAAAGGTATTGCCACCATGCCTGGCTTAAACTCAGTTTTCTTGATTTAAAAAAGTTTAAGGGAAGAAAGTAGAAAACCAACAAATTATTAAAAAATACATCCTGGTTTCTTTGGTGAGGGTAGATAGGGTTGGAGTCACCATGGAAGATATATACAGGTGGCACCTACAGTCTTCTCCTTCTGGAAATCCCAGGGCTTCTGGGACCCTTAAGAAATTTGTCTTTATGTTGGGCAGTGGTGGCACATAGCTTTAATCCCAGCACTTAGGAGGCTGATGTAGGCAGATCTCTGAGTTTGAAGCCAGTGTGGTCTACAAAGCAAGTTCCAGGACAGTCAAGAATACACAGAAAACCCATTTCAAAAAAATAATAATATAAAATAAAAATAAACCAAAACCAAAAGAAACAAAGAAAGAAAGAAAAGAAAAAGAAAAGAAAGAAATTTGTCCTTATGTTTCAGCTTTGCTATTTTAAGTGGGAAGTACCAGAAAGTGGTTAGTTAAGGTATTTCTCAAAAGCTTTGCTCTCTGGCCTGTCATGTGATAGACACATTTTGTTGTATTGAGAAACTCTTCTAACTTCCCATCTCCTTGGGCTTGAGCTGGGCTGGCTTACCGGCTCACAGGTTAATCTTAGAATTTTGACAATGTAGGGCCCTAGGGGTGCTATGACAGCTACACCCCGATGAAACTATGAAGGTATGTGTACACATAAGTGTGCACATGCAATCGTGTATACATACTAATGCATGTATGCACACGTATGTGGGGAAAGGCAGCTTCTTATTTTGAGTTAGCAGAAAGAGTAAGCAAAGGTTTGCTGTGGGGACCACCAGCAGCATTCCAGGGAAATATGTAATCAGGATGACTAGTCTGTGAACGTAAAGCCTCTTACTTGTTCTAAGGAGATGTGGTATGATGTTTAGAGGTAAGTTTTAAATTATCTAAAATACGTATAAATTATATGCTTTGCTCAAATATTAATTTTATATGCAAAAAAGAACCTTAGATTCTTACTAGACCCTAAAGAGGTGGGTATTGTCATCTATTTCTTATTTTGTTTTGTTGTGGGACAGTGTCTCAGTATGTATCCCAGGCTGGCCTCTCAGGTTTTGGTTGAGTGCTATGTGTACTACCATGTCCACCCGCTAAACAAGGCTAGCTGGCTTCCAAACCCACATCTCTTTTCCTGGCACTCATTAGGGTGGAGTACCCACAGGGGCTGCCCTGGTGTGAGCTGAACAGGCAAAGCTTGGCCAGCCTGGGCTTTGCTGGCCCCCTGGGCTTTGCTGCCCTCATGTGCAGGAAGGGAGGTGATCTGGGTCTCTAGAGCTTAGGATCCCTGGGGAAGGAGCAGGGGGTCTCCCAAGAGAAAAGATATTTTTAAAAACTGTTTACTGTGCTTGGATTCTAAATGCTCACTGTGTGCCTGTTAGAACCCTAGGGAAATGAAACAGCACTTCTGAACACCAGGGTCTGCAAAGATGTGCAGGCATCTTTCCTGGCTCTGTGATGGTCTCTAGAACCAGAGAGAACATGCGAGACTCCTAAACTTGAATATACTTTGCCCAAGTGAAGATGCATATACTATGCATCAAGCAAGAGCTGTGCTTGTGTGTGTGCTGCAGAGCCCCTAACCCATGCACACAGTGGGCTAGTCCTGCTCAAATTCCTAAGCAAGCATCCTGCCCAGGCTGTTAGACCTGCTCTGAGGTAAACATGCTAAGCGCACAGACGCCATGGGACCCATGAATTAACCTGTGCTCCACAATTCAGGTGGCCATGTGCAGATCCTTTTCAGACCAGGTCTGGGAACAGCTGCCATCATTCCTCTATTTCTTCCTTAGTTTGTTACTCTCTTTCCTCTGGATGCAAAGCCCATCCTTGTCTTTCCCCGGCCAGAATGTTGAGTAGTAGGAGAGGAAAATTTACCCATTCTCTGAGTGCTGGTGAGAACTCAGGAGCCTCTCCTAGTACTTGGGCCCAAGGCAAGGCAGCTAAGAGCTACTGCTTCCTAGGGCCTCTGAAATGTCACACAGTGCGCCCTACTCATAGTATAGTTCATTCACAGAAACCAACAAAAATGTTCTACTTTCCCCTGCATGGATGTAGAATCTGAGGCAATAGAGACACAACTGCCTCGAGGTCAGTAGCCAGCGCACAACAGAAGTACAGCTGGGACTCGTGTCTGTCTCGGAGGCAGAGTCTTGCCCTGAAGCAAATCCCAATGCAAGGATTCTCTGTCCCTGGATTGTTCAGCTCCTCCAGAGCAGAGCTCAACTCCTGCTTGGATGTCCGCACGCCCATACCAGGTTTCTTTTGCTTCACATCTTTGTCAGGTCCCCAAGAAACCTGGGACAAGGCTCACTCAGTACCTAAACCATGCATTGCACTACAGAGCCCTCCCTGCCTGTTCTCTGAGTGTCAGCACCCATGGGCTCTCAAAAGGAGTCTGGGGACAGCTTCTTTCTCATCTACAGCACTCTGATATTTTCAGACCTTAGCTACAGCCACCTGATGTCTTCCGAGTGTGTTAGGCTTCTGCCCCATACCTGCCCAGGGTTGCTCACCAACACTCCTAGTTCTTTAGCTGAGTGCTACCAGCCACTTCTAGATTCTCAGAAACCGCACTTCCAGTCAGCCCAGGGAGGAGCCACCTCCTCACCAACCAGCACCGACCCAAGTCTCTGAGCTGTGACCAATGCTCTTCATCTACCCATCACATCCTTCTTATCAACATTTCCCGCCCACCTCCTCGTACCACATGCCTGCTCACTGCTGTGCCCCATCAAAACAGCTGCTAACTGCCAGGTTCTCCCAGCATCACCAGCTACAGAGTCCTGGCTCCTTCCAGCATGGCTCACCACCACCCCCTACCCTAAACCTCTCCAGCCTATGGGCCGGGCTTTGCTTCCCTTTCCCCAGCTTCTTCTTTTCTATACAACTTGGCCATGTGCTCCCTTTGTCCTCTGCTCCTGGCTCCAGGTCCCCTCTCTTGCCCTCTCTCTTCTCTCATTCTTCTTCCTGCCCCCATGGCCTGGTTCAGTCTGGACCCTTCCAGATACCTCTGCTGAACTCTCCGTCTTATCTATTACAATAAACCCCTTCTCCCACCATGTGTTGAGTTGAGGGCTCAGAGCAAACACAAGTCATATTGGACAGTGTCCTTTCTTTGAACAGAAACTGTTGGCAGCTTTCTGTTATGCCAACAAATACCTGGGATAATTGATTCATAAACCGAGAGGACTCTCTGGGTTCACCATTTCACGTCTGTAATCAGTTGGTCTCATTGTTGTGAGCCTGGAAGAAGCAGAATACCCTGGAAAGGAGAGATGGGGGTCCCAAAATCTTCTGCTAAAGAATTCCCCCCATGGTCTTCCTCTCACTAGGTCCCACCTCTTAAAAGTCCTCACTGCCTTCTAAGAGTACCATCTTGGAACTATGCCTTTAACACGTAGGCCTGTGGGGGACATTCTAGATCCAGGATACAGAGTGATGCTTTGGGACTTGCAGATCATAGTGTGATGATCCTGCTACCAAGCTGTTGATTGCCTTGGCGGGTTACTTAGTCTAGGGTTAGTAACCCACCTAGCAGTTCAGTTATTCCAGGGTCACGGAGAGGCACTACCTGGAAGATATGAGCTAGGAAAGAGGAAGGAGGCTAAGCGGGGGTTCTTGTCAAAGCCTCCATTTATTAGAGACAGGGTACAACTTATATAGGGTAAAGAGTTGGGGGATGGGCACAGGGGCCTGGGCTCTTGCCGCGTGGTTCACGTTGGTCACATGGTCCGAGTTGGTCACGTAGGCAGGAGGTTATCTTCGGTCAGGTCACTGTAGGCCAAGAAGTCACGAGTTGACACACCTAGATCTTTAGATAGTTTGAAATGTGGGATGGGTTCCGCTAACAGCTCTCCACTAACAGCCAATTTGGGTGTGGGGTAGGCTCTGTCAATAGAACGATTCCTAACACAATTATGGGTGTGGGGTTCTCTGCAGACTCCCCAGGGTGATGGTTCCTGTAATGATTTTAGGAGGAAATTGGCTCCTAACACCAAGCCTTCTCCACTATAACAGGCTGCACCCACAGACAGTGAGCCCGCGTAAGATCCTCTACTCTTTTTTTTTAGAATAACAAAAAATATTTTACTAAAATAAAAGATTTACAGACGTTTCCAGATAAACCATACAAAATAGTCACAAGCTTTTCTTCTTCTTTTGGGGGGGGAATGGGGCAGAGAATCTACACTTAACAGCAAAGTCACAGTGTTATTAGTGAGGGATGTGATGTTTATTTATGTTCCCATTTTGGTTCAGACAATCAAGCTTGTCCATATACAGGGTCTAAAGTTAGACTTGGCTAGAGAGCATATTCTAAAAAACTGATTAGCTGCATTTAACCACTGCAATTAGATCCCATAAGAGGGGGAGGGAGAAAGGAAACCATAAAATTAAAATAAAACTTTCCCCCTAAAAAATAAAATAAAAAGACCCATACCGCTGGCAACTAACCCTGACAACTGCCTTCATTCACAGTGCTTTGTACTTAAACCATGATGGGGAAATGAATCCAAGCAGTCACTGCTTTTAAACACTTCACAACAACCTGAATGACACTTCTAGCCTCTGCTCATGCTTTCCAACAGTGAATCAGGACAAGACACAGATCTGCTAGTGTGCAAAGATGACG